TTAACTGGTTAGTTCATTAATAAATTATGAATTAGAAATGACAAGTGTTTAACTATCAATAACAAGTATTTAACTGGAATCACAAGTTTCATAACTTTTTTCTCCATTATTTTAGTCAGTTAGTTTAGTTAATTAATAAGTTGTGAATTGAAAATCATAAGTATTGAATTGACAATGATTAGTATTGAATTGTAGATGGCAGGTTTTATAATTTTTTTTGTCGTAGAAGAACATATAAGTAATTTCACAATATTTTCAAAATGTTAGTTCATGCCTCAGTTCTGCTATGTCATTTTCAAATGTTAGCTACCTGAATTGAAATTGCATAATCAAATTTCTTTTTTAGGGATTTTTCTAGAAAAAGAAACAAGTACCCATTAGCCAGGCAAAAAATAAAATTTTAGAAACTACATAACACAAAACTATATAAATGTTTCTTAATTAAAATTATAAATCCGTTGGCAAACAGGATGTCTTCAGTATCTACGATTTTAAAGAAGTCCATTTTGCCGTCAAGCGAATCAGATTGAAAATAAATATATATAGATTATTAGATTAAGCTTAATTATATGGATGAAAGAGAAGTAAAACTACCCTAATTTTGATAAGGATTGAGGGAACTCTTTCAAGATTCCTGATAAAAGAGCCAAAATTATCTCTAATTTATTGACCATTTAGTTTTCATATCAAAAATTCAAATTTGGGGCAAATCATTTCGTGAGGTACCGCATGGCCACGTGCCACGTGGTAAGTGAGAACACAACACTCTCTTCTTCTTGTGGGGCCAACTGAATTCTTATCATGAAACGCCAAGTAATTGACAGCCACAAAACAATGTAAGAAACTCAAAAGATCTCCCCGTAAACCGCGGTTTCTATAATGTATATCTAGTTTATAATACAAACTATACTATAATAGTAAAATAGGAAAAACTAGAATATGCAGGCAAATCACGTGAAATTATGGATTTTCAGAATACAGTAGTTGAGAACCGAAAAATCTCAATACTAATCAAGACTTTTGATATACCCAGGATAACAACTGGCAGAATCCTAATGTCGAGAACCCGCCCCATGCTGACTTGTGCTGTGAATACCACTGCGCTACAAGGCTTTTGGCTCCCTCGCCCCTCTTCATCTTTAGAATCTGTTTGTTATAAGGGAAATAGAAAGAAGGGAAAAGGAGAAAAAATTTAATGGGCTTGTTCTAAAAAATTGAAGAAGTGGGGCTGAAAAGACCCTTAATGACTAAAGATGCTTGTTTGTTTTTTTGGAAAAAAAAGTTATAATATATAAATTCCTATGGTTATACTTTATTTTTTAATTAAGTCTTTGTAGTTTTTTTATGAGATCATTTTTAATTAATGTCGTATGAATAAAATTGACATACTACATCAATGGATCAATTTTCATTTATTAGTTATCTAAGAACTCGTTTGGAATAACTTATAAATAGCTTTTTAATCATGATTTACCGGATTCAAGATGAATAAATGAAAGGAGTTTTGTTTTGACTTACGTGAAACATGTTTGTGAGTAATTTCAAACGTTATTTTTAAGTCATTTTGTAAAATATACACTACTACAAAATTGGACTTATTTGATATTCCTCCGGTCCTTAATATAAAACCCATTTAACTAATTTGATTAAATTAAGGAAGTTAGGTAAGTTAGTTAATTATAAGAAATGTGACACATTTTTTCTAAAACACTATAATCATCTTTCTTAATACCTCATCTCTGTCTTTTACTTGATTATGATCGAGAGAGTATTTATAGGGGTAATTTAGAGAAAATTGATAAATATAAAAAATAGGTCTTATATTTAGGACTAAAATCAACTCAATAATTGGGTCTTATATTAAGGACCGAAGGAGTATTATGTAATTGTTGGTTAAACAATCAAGCATCAAGTAACCTGAAACGGTGGTTGAGAATGGAAAAAAATACGGGCAAACATTTTTGTTACAAACTCTGCTGAATCTCACGTCAACACAAATAATAGACGTTTTGCTCTAATACCATCAATTCTTTTGAATGGATTGTCAACTATGGTTATAAAGCTACTCTGTCTCAAGTGGACATCGATCTGAAATGAAATAGGAGCTAGGTGGAGCCCCTTCATTAATATATATGTAGTAATTGGTTTCTAAGTTCATGTGAGGGGGTGATTGTATGTAGAAATTCTATTAGGGCAAAGGTGTAGAAATTTCATGCTGTTGGGGAGTTGATATTGGTCCTATTCTGCATGTTTATCAACTTTTTTTCAAATTAACCATATTGTTATTCCCCAGCAATAATCAAATAGGAGAGGGAGGGAGGGAATCAAGAAAAGTGTTTAGGGTGTTTTGGGAAAAAAATCATATTAATTAATTTAACTAACATCCTTGATATATTCAAATTACTTAATTAGGTTTTAGCTTAAGGAAGTATCAAATAAGGTGAAAAATAGCCGAAAGGTCTTGGGCTTTTCTATAGTAATGATATAAAGCAATTAAAACCAAAATATAGATTTAATCGTTTAAGTTTTTTTTAATCAAGTTTCATTTTTTTTTAATTTTATAAAGTGCATTTTTATCCCTCAATCTTAACATCATTAGTTTCATCTAATATATAAAAATTTGACTCATTAAAATTAAGTGATGAATGTGTAATTAAATACTGGCAAAGCATCCTTAAGTTTGATAAGTAAATATTTTCCCTTTAGATAAAATTAACAGTGTTAAGATTATTGGAAGACTAAAAATGTACTTTATTAATTTAAGGAATTAAAATGAAACTTGATGCAAATATCAAGGACTAAATGTCTACTTTAGTCAGCAATTAATATTTTTTTTTTCATAGTGCCCTTTGTATGTGGATATTATTGATTAATGACAATGGAGTGAGAGATTGAAAGAGAACGCCGAGAATTTACATTTAGTAAGGATATTTGTGAAAAGATAGGATAATTTCAAAACAATAAACTAATTTTGACTAACCTTCCAATTTGTGTTAATTAGTTAAATGTGATTTAATTTATAGATAGCACAGAAAAATCATCAATTTCAGAAGCTAAAACATAACGCGTGATAAGTGTTAAAAAGGAAACTTCATTCTTGTAGGGCCAATTGAGTTAAGAACGAACAAAGTTGGAAATGGATGAGAGCCACAGAACAATATAATGTGAAATCTTGAAAGATCTCACATTCATCACCGGGGGTTTCTATATACTCCTCTGATTTTTTATATAGAATCTAATTGTTCAGCTGATTTTGATTTTAAATATAAGATATATTTCTCAGATTTATCAATTTTTTCTAAATTATCCCTGTGTATACTTTCTCAACTATAATCAAGTAGAAGAAGAAAACAGGATATTAAAGAAGATGATTATGGTGTTTTAGAAAAAAAATTCATATTTCTTATAATTAACTAACTTACCTAACTTTTTTAATCTAATCAAATTAATTAAATATGTCTTATATTAATGATATATATATATATATATATATGTAAAGATTGAAATTCAAATGTAGACGGAACTTGAATATGCAGACAAAGAAGGGGTAGGTGTATGTCAGCAAGAGAATCACGTGAAATTTTGTACTAGAGCAAAAGTAGCTCAGAACCAAAACAATTTGAAAACTAATTGGGACTTCTAATTTCAGAGACGGATCCCAACCACGCAACACCCAACCCCCCCCCCCCCCCCAAAAAAAAAAACCGGGTGTTTGTTTTTTCCCCAATCTATATAGTCTGATGGTTTTTTTAGGAGTAAAATAGACTAACCTTCTTCTATTTAATTTAAATTGTAAAGAGCTTTATTTTTTTTCTTTGAAAACCTGTAAGAAACATGTCAAAAATCAAAATATATTGTTATACAAATTTCCTTTTCATTTTTAATGTATTCAATCATTAGTTAACCATTGAATCACGATGTTAGCCTTAATATTAATATTATTTTTGCAAATTTTTTTAATTTTATTAAATTCATTAATTTTAATCACATCATAAAATTAATTAATTTTATGATCCCAAATTTTAATTTGTTCAATAATTTTTTTGATGGAGAATCTGTTCAATAATTTTAAATTGTTAATCTCATTTATTTAAACTTATTTATTTAGTTATTAAATTTTTAAATGCATACGTTTGTTGAAAACGTCTTTTAAACTATATATTTTCAATTAAACTATGAGCTTATAAAATATATAATAATTCTGAGAGTATTATATTAATAGCTGAATTTTATTATATACAACTTTTAAACATTTTTTGTTGGACGTATATTTATTAAAAGTTTATTCAAATTTAAGTGAAAATTACTTAAATTTTGTCTATATATTTACTAAAACTATTAAACAAATAACTTGTAAATATTGAACAAACTGTCAAAAGATAAACTAGAGATTTGGTATCGTAAGAAATAATTTAGTAAATAATTACTTTAATGTAGTTTTCAATTAAAAAACATACTTTAGAATACTTTAGAATGTTCTTTGATGTTGTTAACAGTATAGACTAAAATGCTTTTTTCAAAATATTGGGGGTGTCTATGTAATTAAGAGAAAACAAAAAAGTGATTAGAATATTTTACTTCTTTTAAAATAATTGTAGAAGGTTATATAACTAAATGGTACGTGAGTGTGAAAAAGAAAAGGAACCCAATAGTGGTGCTAAGATACTTGTGTGGGAATCTACCGTTTGTTTGAGCAGTCTGCATGTACGATATCTATCGAGCAAAATGCAAACCTAAATTAAAACATTTATAGTCACTAATCCGATGATAAAAATATGAAACGGACTATGAATTGGCTTTTTGAAACTACCCATGTGCATCACGTTATTCATTGTTTCATCCGCGTTTGATGATTCGAGAAACTCTCTCTTTTCCCTTGGCTATAAATACAAGTCCAGTTCACTTCCCATGATTAACAAGAGCCCTAGCCAATTCAAAACTTCAAGACCTCAAGTATCAATTCTATAGTCATAGTGGAATCGCTTAGAAGACAATTAAACACACAAAAACTTCTCCAACATGACCTTGACAAAGGAGATCATGGGTCAACCCGTGGTAGGGTCATTTTACTTCAGCAAAAAGCATAGAATTTCCTTGTCTCCCACTTTCTATTGCTCAGTTCAAACAACAAACGAGCAGAAGAAGAAAGTGGCGCAACAAACTGTCTCACCACCTTCAACTTTTATTAATGGCGGTGCTGAGTCCAGGAGAGACCTCGCTGCTTGGAAGCCGGCGTCGGATACGGCGATGGTGACGGTAACCGCCACAGTAACTATCAAGAATGGTAAAAACATAGAGCATGAAATAATGTCCCTGATGCTCCAGCATTTTGGAGCTTTCAATAAAACCATGTCCGAGAGGGGCATGGTTATGCAGTTAGTGAGTACTGAAGTTGACCCAAGTATGTTTTTAGTTCTTAGTTCTCTCTCTCTCTCTCTCTGTCTCTGTTTTTTTTTTTGGGTTTTGTTCAAGACTCTCTTGTTCGATTCCATATATAATGTTTTATGCTTAGCTAGATAAATATATTCATATATGTGGTCTAATTTCTCAATTTTTACTGTGTGAAAATGAAGGAACAATGGAACCAAAGATGAGCAAAAACGCTGTATTGGAGTGGATGAAGGACGTGAAGTTGGGAGCACCCAGGACCACTTGCGAAGTAGAATTTGAGATTGATTCAGATTTTGGGTTACCAGGAGCAATCATTGTGGTAAACAAATATGAAAAGGAATTCTTTTTGGAAAACATTGTGATTGAAGGCTTTCTTAATTTTCCCTGCAATTCTTGGGTTCAACCTGAGAAGCTTCATCCAGAGAAGAGAATTTTCTTCACTAACAGGGTAATCTAAGTGCACATTGTAATATGATGTTTTAATTTCTTTCTGTCTATATATCAATTTGAGACTTATGCATCTTGTATCTTTCAAACAGGTTCATTTACCTTGGGAGACTCCGGCTGGTCTAAGAAAGCTAAGAAAACAAGAGCTAAGGCAAACAAGAGGAGATGGAAAAGGCATGAGAAAGCATGGTGAGAGGATTTGTGACTATGATGTGTACAATGATTTGGGGAATCCAGATAAAACAAGACAAGATTCAAGGCCTATCTTTGGTGGCCATAAATATCCTTATCCAAGACGATGCCGAACTGGTCGTCCTCCAAGTGTTTGTGGTGAGTACTCAATCCTACCCCACTCATAACTTAATTGATTAGGACTACTAAATCTTGTAAAAGAATGGTAAATAACTCTACTGAACTTAATTTCTTTTGGAATTCATAAATATGACAGACCAGAAAGCTGAGTCACCTGTAAATGGATTCAACGAAACGTATGTGCCAAGAGATGAAGTATTTGATCAGAGCAGAATGGAAGATCTTGATGAGGAGAGGACAAAAGGAGTAACGCGGAATCTTCTCCCTTTCTTCAAAACTTGTGTCACAAAAAATGGAGATTTCAAGCAACTTTCAGATGTTACCAGCATTTACAATGGAAAGACTTTGGATGAATTGAAGTTTGAAGATATTAGTAATAAGATCCAAGATTGTTTAAATGAGTACTTCAAATTTAATACTCCAAATATTATAAGAGGTATTGTTCTTTCTGCAAATTTAGCTCTGTAAAATTTTAATTCATTCTAAAGTTCTGAATTGTAAAATGTGCTGAGTATACAATATTCAACAATTGCAGGAAATAATAGTGGCTTTTGCATAAGAGATGAAGAACTTGGCCGTCTGACATTGGCTGGAGTCAACCCTTTAAGCATAAAAAGGCTTGAAGTAAGTAGAATAGTCGTCTAAAGAAAATTTATCTAATTAATCTATTTTTTAATATGTATATAATGATTTTTTTTTTTTTGGGAAAAATGTAACGCAAACCCGACTGAAATTATGGCACCGTTTGGGTGACACCCCAAACCATGGTTTGGGTGATAAGTCACCCAAACACCCACCCAATTTGCACAAACCATGGTTTTGGGTCAAAACCATGGTTTTGCCTCCAAAACCATGGTTTTGGAAAAAGCAAAATTTTTTTTGCTTTTGGAGAAAAAGGGAGAGTATGAGAGCCTATAGGATATGTATCTTGTTATTTTTTTTATAAACATATTTAATCTTATATTTTATAAATATATATACATATTAATTATTTATTAATTATATTATCTTATGTATTATTAATTATGTTAATAAAAAATATATTATTAACAATTTTATTCCTTCAAATTAAAATATATCATAAAATCTATTTTTCTGTAATTATCATATTAACTTATGTCTTTTTTAGTAATTTGTATATATAAAAAGTGCTTCTGATAACAACTATCCAAACACTCTCACTTCTCAAAATCACTTTTTCATAAAATTTATTCTTTCCAGAATCTATTCTTCCCAGAATCTATTCTTCAGAATCACTTTTCCAAACCACGGTTTGGTTTCATCCAAACACACCCTATATTCTAATTTCCTAACTGTAAAATTGTGTAGACCTTTCCTCCAAAGAGTGATTTGGATCCGTCCATATATGGCCCACAAGAATCTGCCCTCAAAGACGAACACATTTTGCCTCAGCTCCACGGAATGTCGGTAAAACAGGTATCATAATTTTTCTCTTGAAAATTAAAGTCCTCCTATTTTTTTAAAAAAAATTAGCTGAGGAAAAATTACAATTTTCGCGTTTAAATACTGTTTAACAAGCTAAGGAACGTTAATTACTTGGTATATTTGACAATCTAAGTATTGTTTTGTTATTTCTACAGGCCTTAGAAGATAAGAAGTTATTCATATTGGATTATCATAATGCTTATATCCCATTTCTCAAAGGCATAAATGCTCAAGAAGATCGGAAGGCGTATGCGACCCGCACCATATTCCTCTTGACCCGACTAGGAACTTTGAAGCCCGTAGCAATTGAGCTTAGTCTTCCACACGGATATCCAAATCGTTTGTCCAAACAAGTCCTAATCCCTCCTGAGGATTCCAACTCTTATTGGTTATGGCAACTTGGCAAAGCACATGTTTGCGCCAACGATTCTGGTGTCCACCAACTTGTCCAACACTGGTAAGTAATCCTATAGACCTATTCTTCCTTGAGATATATATGGTTCAAACCAATGAATGAATCAAATTTTGATGGCTAATTAAACTTGAAATCATCTTGGAACATGCAGGTTGAGGACACATGCATGTATGGAACCGTTTATTATAGCAGCTCATAGGCAACTGAGTGCGATGCACCCAATTTTCAAACTTCTAAAGCCTCATATGAAAGGCACCCTGCAAATAAATGCCTTAGCTCGTGAAGCTCTCATCAATTCAGGAGGCATTATTGAATCTGACTTCTCTTGTGGTAAATACTGCAACCAGATTGTTTCTGCTGCTTACAAAGACTGGTGGCGATTTGACATGGAAGCCCTTCCTAAAGATCTTATCAGAAGGTTTAAATTCTAAATTCACAGTTAATTTCTTAATCGCAATTTGTAATGTTATGCTAAACAAAAAGGTTAAGTAATGAAATGTTCATAATGCAGAGGATTGGCAGAACCTGATCAAACCAAGCCCTATGGACTGAAATTGCTCATTGAAGACTATCCGTATGCAAATGATGGCCTTCCCATTTGGTTTGCAATAGAGAATTGGGTTAGGACCTATGTGACTTACTATTATCGTGATGGGCTCATGGTTCAATCAGATAATGAGCTTCAGGCTTGGTATAGTGAGGTCATAAATTTGGGCCATGCTGATCATAGAAATGCAAGCTGGTGGCCTAAACTCTCAACTCCTGGCGACCTCATTTTTATACTCACAACTCTGATCTGGATTGCTTCAGTTCAACATTCTGCAGTGAACTTTGGGCAGTATCCTTATGGAGGGTATGTCCCAATTCGTCCTCCTTTGATGAAAAGGTTATTACCCAAAGAAGATGACCAAGAGTACAAAGAATTCATGAAGGACCCAGAAGGGTACCTTTTGCGCTCAATGCCTGACTTGTTTCATACCACGAAGTTTTTGGCTGTAGTCAACATTCTTTCACAACACTCAGCAGAGGAAGAGTATTTGGGAGAAAGGAAGGATCTTTCATATTGGTCTAGTGACCCTGAAATCATAGAGGCATTCTTCAGGTTCTCAGTGGAAATTAAAAGAATAGAAAAGGAGATTGAGAAGAGAAATAGAGACCCAAATTTAAGAAATAGATGTGGGGCTGGAATTCCACCATACGAATTGCTCATGGCTAGTTCCGGTCCGGGTGTCACTTGTAGAGGGGTCCCTAATAGTATAAGCATATAAACATAATAATTTGAAAGAATTACAAGTTCACTGTTTGCTTATAGTGAAGTAGGCAACATGTATATTTACTTAAACAATTGAAATTAGGCATATGTGAATATGACATACTGTAAAGGAAAGAATGAGTGTATTTGAAACATTATTATATGTCGTTGCATATACTGTATTGAAGGGTAAATGAAATAATTGATTGATTCGGTTTTGAGGTTCAATTTTAAGTTAAAGGAAATATATAAATGCAATAGAATTTTTATGGACAAAAGTGTTGCGAATCAGAATCAATTCATACAGTGAAACAAAGGAATCTATTAAATCTCAAAAGCAAGGATTAAGTTACTCAACTAAAAATAAAAAATTACAAATAAAAAAATATAAGTTGAATAATTAGTTCAGCTCGCAAAATGAAATTATGCATGAGAAAAAAAAACTAATAAGGTGATCAATCAAATTTTAGAAAAGATTTCGTTATCGTTGTGGGTCTACAAACCATGCCTGTGTCCATTACTGGTAAATTTGTCTATGTATAAACCCATAACCTGTCTCCGTCTAATATCCCAAAAAATTTAAACAGAATAAAATAGAAATTTGCGACGACCAGCTTATAAGGACTATAGCAATTTCAGGGCTTTAGTATCATTAAGCAAAGTTAACGAAAAATGGTTGCATAGATTAATAAATATGAATGTTTTCAAAAATTACTCCTCATTAACAGACTCATGGGCTTTGCATTAATTAACATCCTCATTGATTTCTAACTATCTAACTCAATTTTGTCTTGCTTCCCTAGCTTCATATTGATCCCGTGAACAACATACAAACTAGTTATATGTCTAAATTGAACTAATATTCACTAATAAATGTCTTAAATGCACAAAATATACTCAAATATTCCTCGATATATAAACAATTCCTTGATAAAATGCAAAATGAAGACTCCTAAATTTAACTACTCTTTTGGTCCTTAGTATAATACCTAATTCACTAATTTAAGTATATTAAGGATGTTAATTGAATTAGTTAATATGATATATTTTTCTTAAAATACTCTAAGTATCTTCCTTAATTTCCTTTCCTCCCTGTCCTTGATTATTTTGAGAGAATATCAGTGGGTTAATTTAGGAAAAAAATTAATAAATATGTAAAATCGGTTTTATATATAAGACGAACATTAACTCTTCAATTATGCTATAAATTAAAGACTAGAGGAGTAACTCCTAAGATCAATTGTCATTAAATAGAAGGAGTCATCAGTTATTTTTGAAAGGGTTAACGTGTTTTTAGTGAAACATACTTCCATTTACCCTTCTTTAGAATATGTTCGGAAGCATTACAGTTCAAGTAAATCATGAAATAAGCCTGTAGATTGAAAATTTTGAAATTTGATTCTCGGGTTAATATTCATTAGTAAATTTCAGATTTTTTATCCAACTTTGAAAATACTAACTAATTATAAAAAAATTGTATTAAGATAATTTAAGTCTTATTTAAAGGTCTTTCAATTCTTTATAAGGAAAAAATATTCATTAGTTCAGCTCTTTACTCATTAATTCCAGAATTACACGTGAAGTTGTACTGTTTATTTGGTCAAATATTATATTTCTAGATTCTCTACCTTAATTTTGATCAATCATATCTCTTAATAAACACATCCATTATAAGTGATTTATCACTTTTTCTAAAGTTTAGGATGTGTACTAGTTGCTCACCAAATTTCATAGATATAATCAATTGTTTACTTTAGCATGCTATAAACTTTTTTTATCTTGTATATTATCATCCCAACATACTGTTGATCATTTCCATGCATCATCAAACTCTTTCATACATGCCAATATCATTATTTATCTTTACATAACATCATAGGCACGTTTATTACATATATCATCATAAGAAATTATATAACATAAAATAACATAATACAATATAACATTTCTTAAATTCTTCTCTTCTTTTTGATTCTATACCTTACTAATCCTCTTTCTTACTCATGGAACCTATTATGGTTGGTTAAAGAAGGGTGAGATTTGGGATAATTTCAGTAGCAAACAATAACCACCCAAACATACATGACAAGCTTAGCATTCATAACATACTTGCAATTTAACATGTGTATAACATAATAACATGTTTGGAAATTATCGTGCATTTATAATAAAATATATAGGCCTATGGAATACTTTAAACATATTCACATTTACAGTGCATGAGTTCAGAAAATCACATAAATATACAAACATAACATATATGCAAACAAATACGAAGCATATAGGAGTAGTGTAAATTTTGCTACTTTTAATCTTTTACATTCAATCTTTCCTCTTGCTCTCTTTGCTTTCAACCATCAAGGTTACTTGATCAACCATTCCATTCATCTTCTTTGATGCCTTCAGGTCCTAAATTTATCAACGCATCATTGTCATTCATTTATTAGAGACATGCTAACAAAAAATATTCATACATAGCTTCCTTGAATATACTTTAACCCTTTAACCTTAACTTTTGAGTTTTAATTTCAATCTCTCTAAAATTAATTTCATATACTATTCCTCCATAATTTTATATGTAGAATCCATTTCTAACCTTAAATCAAACAAAATCCAACTCCTTTACCCTTGAACAAGCTTAGCCAAAACTATAGCGTTTAGGGTTCAAATTTCTATTTTCAATTCCAATGCCTTCAAACTTGCTTTCTTATTTATACCTTATACACATTCTAAACGCGTTGAAAGTATCAAAATCATCAAAATCTAACCCTAGTATCATCTCTAAATCTGGCCAAAATTCTCATGAAATTAGGAAAAATTAGATTCTTTTCAATTTCATCACAAAATCACTTGATTCTTACTCTTTATTTTCTTCTTCTTAATCATTAATTTAACATCAATAAATCTTTTTCATGATTTAAACAAATTAGACAGTATATCATCTTAGGGTTTCATGCTTCTAAAACTCAACAAAAACCATAGCTAAGCTTTGTAAGACATAAAACTTAAACTATATTAAAAATCATGATCTTACCTTGTTTTGAAACTTAAATTTTCCTAAGACTTCAAGCTCTTCTTTTTCTTCTTCTTCTTTTCATAATTTCATGCTCTCCCCTTTAACACCTCTCATGGCAAAAAATTTTACTAAATAGGAGGGAGAGGGATATTTATGAAGCTTAAGTTACCATTTACCTTGAGTTAAAATTAAATTTCCATGCTTATTCACCATGACATGTGGCTCTTGATTAAGCCTTGTCTCCTGTGATCATGCCAAGTGTCCAATTACCATGGCATATGTCACTTTTCTAATTTCTCCTATGTGTTCTTAATCAAATTAAAGAGTAGTTTGAAATTTTAATCAATTTCTTTCTAATTTTTCCCTTAACAAATTATATAATTTCAACCTCGTCTTTTTCATCAAATTAATTAGCATCAAAATAGGGAGAAAAATAAAATAAAAGTTGTGTATAATTATATCATTGGTTATTGTAACATTCCAAATTTTTTTGGATTTAATTAAAGCATGGCTGAGGGAAAAATTTTAGAGAAATTTTTCAGATTAAAACCCTTAAAATATAGTCTAAATAATTATAAAGCTAATTTTGGGAATGTAGGACTCTTTTTTTTGAGAAATTAAAAAAAAAATAGTTAGAGGCTAATTTTTGACCAAACTTTTTAGAGACATTGTTTTATGGATCAAAGAAGCTATTGGAAGAAGGGAATTCATATAAAACATTCAAGACCAATTTCTGCAATTATTTGATTACCCTAGAAAAATAGAGAAGGATCAAAGTGAAAACAAAATGTCTTGGAAGGGCATAATGGTCATTGCACATCCCTTCACGCGTTTATTCTGTCGTGGCATCTTCTGCCCGATTGCCAGATCATTTTCCTCTGTTTGCCGATCTGAATTAGAGAGAGACGAGAGAGAGAGAGTTCCAGTGAGAAGTTGAAGTTGAAGACGAAGACGGAAAGGAAGTGATCGGAGAAGGTTTGGGTGGATGCAATCTTGGAAACTGATTAAGGTAAGTCTTCTAAATCTCCTTCGACTTTTAGTTTCTTCGATTAGGGATTATTTGGGAGTGAAAGAAGCACTGAAAATCTGGCCTTAGAGAGAGAAATCGAAGAATCATATGAAAGCTTTGATCGAAGCATAAGTTGGGGGTTATGAGGGAGTGTTTCTATACTTGTATGCTGCTGGTTGGGTTGATTTTCTCCGGTTCTTGAGTGTCAAAACGGGGAATATGGTGATTCTGGGAGTTTGGCCTCAGATTCTTCTTCTTTTTTTTGGGTATAATGTTGGGTGTTAATGGAATTGAAGAGAGATTATGTGACCCATATATATAAGAAATTGCACTTATGTTTGGTTCTATTTCAATGATGTTTTTGAACCCAATATCTCCGCTCTGTTTTGCTGATAGCATGGGTTTCATATTTGAAAGGTGAATGGAAAGTTAAATAGTATGATTACGAAAAATTAAATGATGCTATACCATATTTTGGAGTGAGGGACGTGAGGTTTAATGAAAAAAGGAGTTGTTATTGTTCTGTGTTGGTTAAATTTTATTATAGTAAAATGAGAATTTTAAAGGGAGGAAAAGATATGTATATATTATGAAATGGAGGAATATAATAGTGGCTATGATAATTGTTAATGTTGGGATGTGGGATCCGAAACTAAATCACATGGCAATGATTTAATTATATGTATATGGAAAGTACTTTCGGTCAAGTAGGTTTCAAGAGGAAATGTAATTTTAAAGTGGGGACATTAAAATAGTGGATAGAATCATGTTGATGACGCTGGAATTTCATGGAAGTATGAAAGAAATGCTTGCTATTGTAAATTTTAAGGACCTTGAAAATATTCAAGGGTGCTGACTCATTGTTAGAGGACTTGGAATAAAAGAAATGCTGTTGCTATTATAAATTTTGAGGACCTTGAAAATATTCAATGGTGCTGACTCATTGTTGGAAGACTTGGAATAAATGATCTAGTTACATATATGTATGTCTCGGCCTAAGTAGAAAAGTGGAAAAGGTGCTGGAAGTTTGTAATTAGGAGCTTAAAAATGAATTCTTCAAGTCAAGAAGGAAAGATGAACACAAATTGTGAAGGGAAAGAGAAATTGATTAGTTATTTAATTGGCTATTTAATTTACAAGGAATTTAAGCTATAATG